GGGCACAGCAGGCATGGCATATTCTCGACACCATAGGGGGTGCGCAGGGGGTGGTCTCTCACCGCGGCCGCAATCCGTGCCGGTCGTCCAAGGCACAGCAGGCATGGCATATTCTCGACACCATAGGGGGTGCGCAGGGGGTGGTCTCTCACCGCGGCCGCTATCCGTGCCGGGCGTCAAGGGCACAGCAGAGATGGCATATTCTCGACACCGGAGGGGGTGCGCAGGGGGTGGTCTCTCACCGCGGCCGCTATCCGTGACGGTCGCCCAGGCACAGCAGGCATGGCATATTCTCGACACCATAGGGGGTTGCGCAGGGGGTGGTCTCTCACCGCGGCCGCTATCCGTGACGGCCGTCCAGGGCACAGCAGGCATGGCATATTCTCGACAGCGTAGGGGGTGCGCAAGGGGTGGTCTCTTACCGCGCCATCTGATCCTGCCTCGACCTGCGCTTTTCTTCATAACTCCTGTCCGCTCCTCGTGGATCACGTTCCCCCTCCTTGTCTTACTCTTTCCGCCCTCATCGTCGCATCCCTCCATCTGTCGCTTTCCGTCGCTCTCGCGCGCTTTCTGCCGCGGCGTCGTGGTCTGCGACGTTCTGGGCCCCTCCCAGGCGTCCTGGATAGCTCCATGGGAGTCCTGGAAAGGCCATCTCGGGGCCCTCCCGGGCCCGTCGCCGTACCGGAAGGCCCCCTGTTGCTTGTCCCGAGGCTCTCTCGGGGCCGTCGTGGGACCCTCTTGCGGCGGTCTGGCGGCGCTCTTTTGGTAGGTGATGGGGCCTCCCTGGATGCTCGCTGGGCCCTCCTCGCTCGGGCCATCCTGGCCCATCTTGGGGCCGTCCCTGGAGGCGGCTGGCATCGGGTCCCCTCCCCGCCCCACCCATGGAGGACGGCGGGGGGCACCGCCGACCAGGGCGCCGCCCAAGCCCAGCCCCCCGCCCCCCATCGTTCTCCTCCGCCTCCTCCTTCTCGTCGCCCACCACTCCGTAGTCTTTTTGACTCCAGGAGACTGCTCTCCCCCCACCTCCATAGCCGTGTTGGCTCAAGGTGACTGCTCCTGCAGCGGAACGGTCAGATACCTCTGGTCCGAGGCGGCCCCCCCTTCTCCTCCACCTCCTCCTCCACCTGCTCCTCGTCCTCCTCCTCCTCCTCCTCCTCCTCCTCATTCTCCTCCTCCTCCTCCTCATTCGCCTCCTCCTCCTCCTTCTCCTCCTCCTCCTCCTCCACCTCCTCCTCCTCGTCTCCTCCCCCCCGTTCTAGCCACTTTGGGCTCAGGGTGGCTGAGCTCCCACGGCGGGGCGACCAAAGACCCCCTGGTCCGAGGCGGCGGTCAATGGCTTCTCCGACCTCTCCTTCGGAGCGGACCCGTGTGTGTGTGGGCTCCCCAATACTGAGGGGGCGAACAGCATTCACTCCTTTCCCCCCGCCCTTGCCATGCGCCGCCCCTCCGAACGGGGGATTGTGGAGTCGCAGGGGTTCAAAAGCGCGCGCGCGAGGGTTTCGCGCTGAGTTCGCGACTGTTTCTGTGCAAACTCTGCTCTGTGTCGTCTTCCTCCTCCTCCTCCTCCTCCTCCTCCTCCTCCTCCTCCTCCTCCTCCTCCTCCTCCTCCTCCTCCTCCCTCTCCCCCTCCTGCTACCTCTCTGCCTTTTTTTTCTCCAGGCGCCCCCCCCCCCAGAAAAAAAACCTAAAAAAATATCAGTTGTTTTGTTTTTCTTTTCTTTCTGGGGGGGGGGGCGCCAGGAGAAAAAAAAAAAAGGAATGCGACGTGACCACATCTGCCCTCCCCCCTAGAAGGATTCCTATTGGACGCCCCCATAAGAAGGATTCACAGTAAAATCCTCGACAGAAGGGTTCCTATCGAAACCCTCCACTGAATGATTCCTACCGAAATCCTCCACATGTGGATTCCTACTGAAACCCTCCACTGAATGATTCCTACTGAAATCCTCGAATGGCAATGGCAATGGCAATGGCAATGGTAATGGTAATGGTACTGGTACTGGTACTGGTAATGGTTACGGTAATGATAGTGGTAACGGGGTAGCGAGACAATGACAATGGCAATGACAACGGTAATGGTAATGGTAATGGCAATGGCAATGGGAATGGGAATGGCAATGACAATGGCAATGGTAATGGCCATGGCAATGGTAATGGTAAGGATAGAGGTAAATGTAGAGTTAAAGGTAATGGTAATGGTAATGGTAATGGTAATGGTACTGGCAATGGAAGTGGTAATGGTAATGGTAATGGTAGTGGGAATGGAAGTGGGGATGGGAACGGGAACGGGAATGGAAATGATAGTGGTAGTGATAATGGTAATGGCACTGGTAATGGTAATGGTTCTGGAAAGTGTAATAGTATTGGAAATGGGAATGAGAATGGGAATTCTAATGGTAATGGCAGCGGTAGTATCATGGTAATGGGAATGGGAGTGGAAATGGTACTGGCAGTGGTAATGGTAGTGACGAATGGCAATGGCAATGGTGATGGTAATGGTAATGACAGAGGTAATGGTACTGGTACTGGTACTGGTAACGGTAATGGTAATGGTAAGGGGGTAGCGATTGGCAATGTCAATGACAATGGCAACGGTAATGGTAATGACAATGGCAATGAGATTGGCAATGGAAATGACAATGATAATGGCCATGGCAATGGCAATGGTAAGTGTAATGATAATGGCAATGGTAATGGGAATGGGAACGGGAATGGGAATGTGAATGGGAATAGGAACGGGAACGGGAATGGAAATGGTAATGGTAGTGGTAACGGAAATGGGAATGATAAGGGTAAGGGTAAAGGTAAAGGTAGAGGTAAAGGTAATGGTAATGAAAATGATAGTGATAATGGTAATGGTAATGGTAATGATCATGATAATGGGAATGGCAATGGAAATGGTACTGGCAATGGTAATGGTAGTGGCTAATGGCAATGGCAATGGCAATGCGAATGGTAATGATAATGACAGAAAAAATGGTAATGGCACTGGTAAAAGTAACGGTAGTGATAATGGTAACGGGGTGGCGACTGGCAGTGGCAATGGCAATGATAACGGCAACGGTAAGGACAATGGCAATGGCAATGGGAATGGCAATGGCAATGGCCATGGCAATGGCAATAGCAATGGTAATGGTAATGGCAATGGTACTGTGAATGGGAATGGGAACGGGAATGGGAATGTGAATGGGAACGGGCATGGAAATGGCAGTGGTAGTGGTAACGGAAATGGGAATGGTAAGGGTAAGGGTAAATGTAAAGGTAGAGGTAAAGGTACTGGCAATGGCAGTTGTAATGGTAATGGTAATGGTAATGGTATTGGGAATGGGAATGTTAATCGGAATGGTAATGGTACTGGCAACGGTAATGGTAGTGGCGAAGGGCAATGGCAATGGCAATGGTAATGGTAATGGTAGTGGCGAATGGCAATGGTAATGGTAGTGGCGAATGGCAGTGGCAATGGCAATGGTAATGGTAGTGGCAATGATAGTGGTAATGATAATGGTACTGGGAATGGTAATGGTGACGATAACGGTAATGGTAATGGTTATGGCAATGGTAACGGGGTAGCGGTTGGCAATGGTAATGGGAATGGCAACGGCAACAGCAATGGCAATAGCAATGGCCATGGCAATGGTAATGGTCATGGTCATGGTCATGGTCATAGTAATGGTAATGGTAATGGCAATGGGAATGGGAATCGTAGTAGTAATTGGAACGGGAACGGGAATGGAACTGGTAGTGGTAAGGGGAAAAATAATGGCAATGGTAATGGAAATGGTACTGGTAACGGTAATGGTAATGGCAATGATGATGGGAATGGGAATCGTAATGGTGATGGCAGCGGTAATGGTAATGGTAATGGCAATTGCGCTGGTAATGCTAATGATAATGGCAATGGTAATGGTGGTGGCGAATGGTAATGGTAATGGGAATGGTAATGGTAACGGTAATGGTAACGGGGTGGCTACTGGCAATGGCAATACCATGGCAATGGCAACGGCACTGGCAATGGCAATGACAATGATAATGGCAATTGTAATGGCAATGGTAATGGCACTGGCAAGTGTAATGGCAATGGTAATGGTAAGTGTAATGGTATAGGTAAAGGTAAATATAAAGGTAAAGGTAATGGTAATGGTAACGGTAATGTGAATGGGAATGGGAATTGGGATGGGAATGGTAATGGTAATGGTATTGGGAATGGGAATGGAATGGGAATGGGAGTGGGAGAGATTGAGAGAGAGAGAGAGAGAAAACGAGAAAGGAAACATCAACATAATGGTGAGGAACAAACTGAAATATCGTAAATTTTCGTCTAAAACCCACAGCGACTCCACAATCCCCCGGCCTCCCTCTCTTCCTCCCACTCCCCCTCCTCCTCCTCCTCCTTGTATCGTTTCGCCTCCTCCCATCACCCTCGTCCCGTTCCTCCTCCTCCTCCTGCCAGAAAGCTCTGGAGGCCCCAACCGTTCCGCTCCTCCCTCGTCTCCATGCCTCCTCTTCTGGAGTTCTTTCGAAGCTCTCCAGGGCTGCCCACAACACTTTCGGAGGCGTCATCATATTTCCACTTCATCCCCACTGCCATCCCCTGCCCTCTCCTCCACCCTGCCCTCCTCCCACCTCCTCCCACCACCCCCCGTCTGCGCCGCACCCTGCTCCTGCTCCTGATCCTCCTCCTACTCCGCTTCCTCCTCCTCCTGCTCCTCCTCCTCCTCCTCCGACTTCTCCTCCTCCTCATTCGCCTCCTCCTCCTCCTCCTCCTCCTCCTCCTCCTCTTCCTGCGCCTCCTCCTCCTCCTCCTCCTCCTCCTCCTCCTCCTCCTCCTCCGGGTCCAACATATTTTCTCATCCTCCTCCTGTTCCTCGTTTTCCTCCTCCTCCTCCTCCTAAATCGGTCTCATCCTCCTCCATTGCCTTGTTTTCCTCCTCCTCCTCCACCTTCTCCTCCTCCGCCTCTCCGTTCTTCTCCCACCTGGCATGTCCCCATCCCGCGGCGACCATCAACATCTGCACCCCGATAATGCCGACCGTCATTGTCAGCGGGGCGAACCCTGTGAGGGGGACCTTAGTACGAGGCAGTGGCAGGAGGAGCGACGAGGAGGCTTGAATCGAGGCTTGGGGCTGGAAGGAGGAGCGAAGAGGAAGAGTACATCGAGGCATGGGGCTTGTTCCGTGCCGTACTGCGTCTTGTGTGTAGCTTCGGGACCTCTAGGTGCATCTTCGCGCGCGCATGAAAGACTGGGCGGAACGACGCAACGCGTTGCAGAAGAGGCTTGAGTGGCGAACTGCGGGCAAGCGAGCAGAGGTGGGTCGGAACTAGTCAAACATACCCACGAGCAGTCAACAACTAATCGAAACAGCGCCCCTGGACCATTTCCCAACCATCCTGTGGTGGTGGGCCCTCCTCTTGAAGAGACAGTGCCCCGCGCTCCTCCTTTTTCCTGTCTCCCTCTCCTCCCTCCTCCCATCGACGGCATCATTATCATCGTCACCATCCGCATCATGCATCATCCCAATCATTTAGGCGCACCCCTCACACGGTTCATGACCCCACAGGGAGCTCCACCGAAAGCCCCAGTGGCAGAGTCCGTATGGCACTGCCGCTTCATTTCGGCACACCCCTCACACGGTTCGTGACCCCATAGGGAGCTCCACCGAAGGCCCCAGTGGCAAGGTCAGCATGCAGCATGGCACCACCGCCCCATTTCGGCACACCCCTCACACGGTTCGTGGCTCCACAAGGAGCTCCACCAAAGGCCCCAGTGTCAGGGTCCGCATGGCACCGCCGCCACATTTCGGCGCACCCGTTCGTGGCCCCACAAGGAGCTCCAACGAAGGCCCCAGTGGCAAAGGTCCGCATGGCACCGCCGCTTCATTTCGGCACACCCCTCACACACTGTTCGTGGCCCCATGGGGAGCTCCACTGAAGGCCCCAGTGGCAGGGTCCGCATGGCACCGCCGATCCATTTCGGCACACCCCTCACACGGCTTGTGGCCCCATAGGTAGCTCCACAAAAGGCCCCAGTGGCAGAGTCCGCATGGCACCGACGCCACATTTTGGCGCACCCCTCACACGGTTCGTGGCCCCAAAAGGAGCTCCCCCGAAGGCCCCAATGGCAGGGTCCGCATTGCACCGCTGCCCCATTTCGGCACACCCCTCACACGGTTCGTGGCCCCATAGGGAGCTCCAACGACGGCCCCAGTGACAAGGTCCGTTTGGCACCGCCGCCCCATTTCAGCGCACCCCTCACACGGTTCGTGGCTCCACAGGGAGCTCCACCGAAGTCCCCGGTGGCAGGGTCCGCATGGCACCCCCGCCCCATGTCGGCACACTCCTCACACGTTTCGTGGCCCCAGGGGAACTCCTCCGGCCGCTGTACCCACAATGCTGTATTCACAAGTGCGTATGGTTGGGTCCTTCGCCAGGATGATGTAAAATATGTTTAACGTGTTCGCCAGGCCTTTTACGAAGCCCGCGCGCGTGGTCTAGTTCGTCTAGTTGGTCTACAGTTGCTCGTGTGGGGAGCGGGGGGCGGATTTTCATGCGGTCAAGCGGATCTTGGACGAGACCCCCCCTGGGGATGAGGATCTCTGGGGCCGCGCACAGGAAACATCACATCGTCGGACGTCGTCGTCGTCGTCGTCGTCGCCATCGTCGTCGTCGTCGTCGTCGTCGTCGTCGTCGTCGTCGTCGTCGACCAGGCGCGGCGACTCGACAGCCCACGCTGGGGCGGCGCATCCAAGCAGGGCGCACGCGCCCGAGGGCGGCGGAGCTCCACGCGCGCACGCGGCGCACGACCCGAGAGGCACACCGACAAGGACCCTCCTCCTTCTCCTCCTCCACCTCCTCCTCCTCCTCCTCTTCGTCCTCGTCCTCCTCCTCCTCCTCTTCGTCCTCGTCCTCCTCCTCCTCCTCCTGCTCCGTCTCCTCCTCCTCCTCATCCTGCTCCTCCTGATCGTGAGGTGGAGCGAAAGGGAGTGAGGGAGGGAGGGAGCGAGGGAGACCCACTCCGGTGAGGAGAGACACATCGACCTGGTAATCTGACCACACACCAAACCGCCCCAACCCAACCCGAAGAACCGTACTTCGGGCTGGGACGGGCTCCATGTGTGTTTTTCTGAACCATCCTGTGGTGTTGGGTACTCGTTTTGAAGAGACAACGCCACGTCTCACTCCTCCCCCTCCTTCTCCTCCTCCTCCTCCTCCTCCTGCTCCTCCTCCTCCTCCTCCCTCCTCCCTCCTCCCTCCTCCCATGCCTGCCTCTGCTCTCCGAGTGTCGTCATCATCACCATCGTCGTCCGCATCGCACCCCTCACACGGTTCGTGGCCCCATCGGGAGCTCCACCGAAGGCCCCAGTGGCAGGGTCCGCATGGCACCGCCGCTCCATTTTGGAGCACCCCACACACGGTTTGCGGGTCCAATAGGGAGCTCCACCGAAGGCCCCAGTGGCAGGGTCCGCATGGCACCGCAGCCCCATTTCGGCACACCCTTCACACGGTTCGTGACCCCAAAGGTAGCTCTGCCGACGGCCTCAGTGGGCCCGCACGGCACCGACGCTTCATTTTGGCACACCCCTCACACGGTCCGTGGACCCACAAGGAGCTCCACCGAAGGCCCCAGTGGGAGGGTCCGCTTGGCACCGCCGCCCCATGTTGGCGCACCCCTCACGCGGTCCGTGGACCCATCGGGAGCTCCACCGAAGGCCCCAGTGGGAGGGTCCGCATGGCGCTGCCGCTTCATTTTGGCACCTCCCTCACGCGGTTGGTGGCCCCATAGGGAGCTCCAACGAAGGCCCCAGTGGCAGAGTCCGCATGGCACCGCCGCCCCATGCTGGCGCACCCCTCACACGGTTCGTGGCCCCATCGGGAGCTCCACCGAAGGCCCCAGTGGGAGGGTCCGCATGGCACTGCCGCTTCATTTTGGCACCTCCCTCACACGGCTCGCGACCCCATAGGGAGCTCCGCCGAAGGCCCCAGTGGCAAGGTCCACATGGCGGAGCCGCCCCATTTTGGCGCACCCCCCACGCGGTTCGTGGCCCCATCGGGAGCTCCACCGAAGGCCCCAGCGGGAGAGTCCACATGGCTCCGCCGCCCAATTTTGGCGCACCCCTCACACGGCTCGTGGCCCCATATGGAGCTCTACCGAAGGCCCCAGAGGCAAGGTCCACATGGCTGCGCCGCTCCATTTTGGCGCACCCCTCGCACGGTTCGCGGCCCCATAGGGAGCTCGACCGAAAGAGGCGCCACAGCACAGTGTTCACAATTGCACATGGTTGGGTCCTTCGCCAGGCTCATTTCAACGCTCCCCGACCCCCCCGTACTGGAAATGGAAGGCAATACGGAGCCGTCGGGTTGGGTTGGGCTGACTTGGAGGCGGGTAGGATCAGATGCATAGGACACGAGGGTACCCTTGATTTGGCAGGGTCGCCCCCTAATCTGGGCCGACTGCAGAGTCCGCCTGGTGCCCTCCAACCTCCTCCTCTCCTTCACCTTGCGCCTCCTGCTGCTAACGCGGCTCCTCGCATGTCCAAGAGCTCTTCCTGACAAGAACCTCTTCAAGCTGCAAGTCGCGGCGATGAAAGCCTCCCAGGATGCCCCGAGATCACGAGGAACCACAAGGCCCTCCTCTCCCCTGCCCCCCCCCCCTCCTACTCCTCCTCCTCCCCGCCTTCCTCCTCCAGGGCCCCAGACAGCCCCCCCACAGGACGAGAGGGAGGAACGGACTCGACCATCGAACCTCTACAGGGCAGTTGTTTTTAATACATATGATTATTCTAAATATAGGTGTTTCCCTAATTACCTAGGCTCTGTCTAGAAGGGTTCTTACTCGGTAAGCTTAAAGGGCCGGGCAGTGGGGCTCGCCCCGGGCGGTTCCCCCAGGATCCGCCCCGCGGTTCCCCCAGTTACGTCCCCTTAGCTTAGCGCTGCGTATATAATCTTAGCTTAGCTTAGTTCATCTTAGCTTAGCTTAGCTTCATCTTAGCTCAGGTGTATCTTAGCTTAGCTGATCTTTATCTTAGCTTCGCTGAGCTTTAGCACAACAGAGCACAGCATAGCATAGCATAGCGTAGCATAGCGCAGCACAGCATATCATATCATAGCCCCGCATAGCATAGCATAGCGCAGCATAGCATAGCATAGCATGGCATAGCATAGCATAACGCAGCGCAGCGCAGCGCAGCACAGCACAGCGCAGCGCAGCATAGCATTGCATAGTATGGCATGGCATAGCAACTAATGCTGTTTTCCTAGGGGCTCCAACTTCTAGGTAAGGTCGCACTGGGGTAATTAAAGCCATGACTATTCTATGAATACATTTACGCATGAACTCATCGTTATGTTTAATACTACATCCCTGCATTTTTGATACATGATCCGCACGCGGAGCATGTATTAAAACCGGCACTCTATCCCCGAGCACGGCCACCGAGCCCCACTCCCCCGAGCTCTGCGCCTCGAGCACCAGAGACCTCGGCCCCCCTCTGACCTCGACGCCCGCGGGGAGCCCCGACCCCCTCGGGCCTCGGCATCTCTGAAGGGGCCCTGAGACACACACACACACACACACAAATACTCACAAATAAAAGGATTCCCCATAGTTTCTGGGTTGTTGTCTTCCCCCCTACTTCCCATACTTTCCTATATTTTCTGGGGAATCGACGATTCATTGTGTCTGTGTGTTTTTTCCCTCCTGAGTCTCCCCCGGGGCAGCCCCGCGCGGCCCCCTCCCGGCGCGCGGCCTCCTCCGCCGGGTCGCCCTTGGGCCCCTGCGCGGCGGGCGAGGAGGGGGCGGGCGCGGGGACACAGCAGGGGCGGAGCCGCCACCAGCACGGGGAGCACGGGGTGCTCCTCCCGGTGGTGCACCCCAGCGCGGGGGAGGCGTCGGGGGCACTCTCGCTGGAGGTGGCCCTCCTGGCGGTTGCGGTATCGCCTCGCCGTCCCACGGGTCGGATGAAGCCGGGACTGGGACAAGATAGGACTGGGCTAAATGGGGGATCTCTCAGATCTGGCGCTGCTGGAGGCTGTGTCGTGCGCCGTGGCCGTAAGTGAGCGCTCTGGAACG